TATCCACAGGCTTAACATAATTTCCAGGAACAAACATGAGATACAATGCCAATTTCCAGAATAAGTAATGCCTAGTAATAATGTAATAAGTGGTCCATTTTATTAAACAATTATGTATTAATCACCTAATATGTACCAGACACTGGGCCAGATGCTAAGAATACAATGGACCACAAATGTTCACTGAAACTAGGCATGAATCAATAAAACACAAGGTCTATTTTTCAATATGAAATATACCACATTCTCAAACTTACTTTAATTATATGAAATGATAAGCTAATGATGGCCACTTAGCTTTTGCAATTAAGATGAATCTAGTACTTGGTATTTTTTTTTCAGTCTGGATCTGCCTAAGTTTTTTCAACATTTAACAATAGTAGATAACACCAATGTGAAAACAGCGTACTTTTCATAGGATGACTGTGAAGATTAAATGAAACAATGACCAAATCCCAAATATTTTATATAATTTACCACACTTGCCTGTATCTGTAAATCATAAGTTCCAAAAAATACTGAACTATTTTATTTTGTTAAAATTTTTCCAGCTTTCTTGAGATAAGTTGAGATTTTTGACATAATTGACATATAGTACATAAGTTTAAGATAAACAACATGATGGTTTGATATTTATATATGTATACATATATGTGATTTGATATACATATATCAAATATATCAGTCCGTTCAGTTCAGTCGCTCAGTCGTGTCTGACTCTTTGTGACCCCATGGACTGTAGCACACCAGGCCTCCATGTTCACCACCAACTCCAGGAGTTTACTCAAACTCATGTCCATTGAGTTGGTGAAGCCAGCCAACCATCTCATCCTCTGTCATCCACTTCTCCTCCTGTTTTCAATCTTTCCCAGCATCAGGGGCTTTTTCAATGAGTCAGTTCTTCACATCAGGTGGCCAAAGTGTTGGAGTTTCAGCTTCAGCATCAGTCCTTCCAATGACTGATTTCCTTTAGGATGGACTGGTTGGATCTTCTTGCAGTCCAAGGGACCCTCAAGAGTGTTCTCCAACACCACAGTTCAAAACCATCAATTCTTCAGTGCTCAGCGTTCTTTATGTGTATGTATATATATATTGCAAAATAATCACCACAACAAGTTTAGTTAATGTTCATCACACATATATAGTTACAATTCTTTTCTTGTATGAGAACTTTTAAGATTTACTCTCAGCAAATAAACAAATATAGTATTGTTCACTTTAATCATCATGCTGGACAATTGCAGTCCCCAAACTTACTTATAAGACAATGGTTTATTTTAATTTACCACCATGTGTATATAGCTTTTGTAATGCTTAGCACACAGTAGGCCTTCAATTAATATTGATGGGCTCAGTGATTAATATAGATATTATTAGTTCAATTTTAAAGATAAAATAAACATTCAGAGAGACTGAACGATTCCCTCAGTTTCTCCAAACTAGTTGGTAGCAGAGTTGAGACGAATGAAATCTTTTTAACTGCATTGTTAAGGGTCTGTAAAAGGGCCTCTAGAGAGCATGTGGCATAGTGCTGAGCACACAGTAAGCCTTCAGTATGCACTATTCCTTCACTTATTGTTCAGTCGCCAAGTCGTGCCCGACTCTTTGCGACCCCATGGACTGCAGAACACCAGGTCTCCCTGTCCCTCACCATCTCCCGGAGTTTGCCCAAGTTCAGGTCCATTGAGTCGGTGATGCTATCTACCCATCTCATCCTCTGTGCCCCCCTTCTCCTCCTGCCTTCAATCTTTCCCAGCATCAGGGTCTTTTCCAGTGACTCAGCTCTTCGCATCAGGTGGCCAAAGTATTGGAGCTTCAGCATCAGTCCTCCCAATGAATATTCAGCGTTAATTTCCTTTAGGATCGACAGCTTTGATCTCCTTGCTATCTGTGGTCACCTCAACTCAGACTGCACCCGCCGGACGTGACCTTTAGAAGTTGCCCAGTTCTCCCGCTGAATGGTTTCAGTACTGCTGCTCCGGGCAGTATGGGGAAATGAAGACAGCAAAAGAGGCTACTTCCCCCTCGGAAAGTATGGGAAACACAGAGCCACGGACGTTCTGTAAGTCATGCGGGTCCAACTTGGCACATTCTAGAGTTCTCAAGCCTTTTTTTTAAATGTCAGAAAAATTCTCTTTATTTAAAAAATATTTATTGGAGTGTAATGTCTTGACAATGCTGCATTAGTTTCTATTGTACAGCACACTGAGTCAGTTACATGTTTACATATATCCCCTCTTTGGGGATTTCCTTCCCATTTAGCGCCCCACATAGCATTGAGTAGAGTTTCCTGTGCTGCACCATAGGTTCTCATCAGTTATCTATTTTTTTTTTAGTTACCTATTTTATACATAGAAGTATACTTTTGTCAATCCTAATTTCCCAGTTCATCCCATCCGCCCCCTTTACCTCCCTTTGATATCCATATGTTTGTTCTCTATGTCTGTGTCTCTATTTCTGCTTGGCAGATAGGTTCATCTGGACCATTTTTCTAGATTCCACATATGTGCATTAATATACGATATTTGTTTTTCTCTTTCTTACTTCACTCTGCTTGATGGTCTCTAGGTCCATCCACATCTCTGTGAGTCCTCAAGTCTTTTTTTTTTTACTTCCCATCCATTATAAAATTCTCTACTTTGATACATTCTTATGCTTTTCTACGTTCTTATGCTTTTCTACATAATTCCTTCTATCCCCTCTATCTGGAAAAACCTTGACTTATTGAATATCTTCTATCTTATTTATCTTCTATAAATCTAAGATTTATTTAGATTCAATAAACATGTTTTATTACAATGTTTTATCTTAGAGCTATCCAGAAGACCTATCTTAGAAGGTGATTAGTTTGCCATTCCTATACATTTTTTTTTCTGTTGACTTTTTTTTTCCATTTATTTTTATTAGTTGGAGGCTAATTACTTTACATCATTGCAGTGGTTCTTGTCATACATTGAAATGAATTAGCCATGGATTTACATGTATTCCCCATCCCGGTCCCCCCTCCCACCTCCCTCTCCACCCGATCCCTCTGGGTCTTCCCAGTGCACCAGGTCCGAGCAATTGTCTCATGCATCCCACCTGGGCTGGTGAGAGTCCTCAAGTCTTAAATAGCACAGTGCTTAGGGAGCAGAAGACATATAGCCAGCCAATTCTGTTCCAGTCTGAGAGCCTCCTGACACAGAGTTGAAGATAACAGTCACTGCTTTCTTTATCTTGATGGCTTTTGTCTTGCACTAGATGACTTTAGTTTATTGATCTTTATAGAACTTCTGAGAGGCTAATTTTGATTTTGGTCCTTATGACTGTGGGAGGGCAGTCATACTGGCAACCCACTCCAGTATTCTTGCCTGGAGAATTCCATGGACAGAGGAGCCTGGCAGGCTATGCCCATGGGGTCGCAAAGAATCAGACCCGACTGAAGCGAGTTAGCACGCGCACACTTGTGACTGTTACAAGCCAGTGATAGGTTGTGAAGTTGCTTGGGGCGAGAAGCCAGGGGTTTCATGAGACATGCAAGTTTCCAGACCCTTCTTCCCTTGGAAAAAGTCCTCTAAAGTAAAGAGCTTTGCAACTGCTGCTGCTATTTCCTCAAGACACCTTGGAGAGAATGCCAAGAGCATGGATTTTGGAGTCTTAGATGTCTTGGTTTGTCTTGTGGTTTCAGAATGATCTAGGTTTGTAATGTATGGTGGCGCTTAGCTTTTCTGAGCCTCAGTTTCCTAACTATAAATGGGGATGATGTCACCTGCCTCATGGAGCTGAGGTTAAATGAAATAACATCTGTAACTTGCTCATATTCAGTGTTAAGAAACTGGTGTCTATTATTACTGAAACAAAGACACCTGAAAGGGTCGGAGCACAGTTAACACCTACTGGGTCTTCAGGTCTGTTTTCTGAGGAAAGAATGTGAGGTGTTGAAGCCAAAGTCCAAGGGAAGCTGAGCTCTCCTCTCTGCAAGGGAGTCAAGGATGTTTGTTAAGCTGCCAAACTTCCCCGTGGTTATTAAACAGACTATGCAGTCCTGTGTCAGTTGCCCTACAATTATTAACAGTGAAACATTTGAAACAAACAGGATCATATACATGTACTAGTAGCAAAAGAGAACAGAAAACAGAGGAAGGGATAAATAATGTCCAGTTATTACACTATTTCAGATGCTGTGTTGGTGCTTTTAGTTAGATAATTTTTGTTACCTCATTAAACTCTTCATAACTTCTGTAATTGTGGTGGTGGTGGTCATTAAGTTATGTCCAGCTCTTGTGACCCCATGGACTGTAACCCATCAGCCTCCTCTGTCGATGGGATTTCCCAGGCAAGAATACTGAAGTGCGTTGCCATTTCCTTCTCCAATCTTCCATAATAGATCTAATTATTCCCTCCTTGGGCCTTCTGGCACTGTGAGTTACAGAGATTATTCCCATCTTCCATTCAAATTGAGATATAGTATACATTAATGTTGTACTAGTTCCAGGTGTACACATAATGATTTGATACATATATCTAATGTAAAATGATCACCACAACAAGGCTAGCTAACATCCATCACCACACAGTTACATTTTTTTTTTCTTGCAATGAGAAGTTTAAGGTTTACTGTCTTGGTAACTTTTAAAAATACAACACAGTATTACTAACTCTAGTCACTATAATATTTCCCCATAACTTCTTTATCTTATGACAGGAAATCTGTACTTTTTGACTGCCTTCACCCATTCCACCCACCTCTCAAATCCCACCACTGATAATCACCAATCTGTTCTCTCTATATATGAGATTCTTTTTTTTTTTTTAAGGTTCCACACATGAGATCACACAATATTTATCTTTCTCTGTCTGACTTATTTCACTCCTCCCATCTTATAAACAAAAGGAAACGGTGGATCAGAATCACGAAGTAATTTGCCCAAAGTTACATAGCAAGTAGGTGGTATTTGAAGTCCGAGGTTAGCTCCAGAGCTTAGAGTCTTTCCTTTATACCTAGGAAAGGAGGAGGGGGGTCATGGAGACTGTTTTTCCTGAAGAAAGAAGACAGAGGCATCACACTGAGGAAGCCAAGGCAGCCCAGGAGAAAGAGGACAACCACAGTGCCCCCAGAGTGGGTAACCGGAGAAGGAGCAGTGGAGTTTCCGCACAGGGGCTTTCTCTGGGCAGATCATAAATTCTGGGAAACCCTGGACCTCCCAAGAAGTTTCTGGCTGCACCTGGTCCAACCAAACTACACCCCCAATACCCAGAAGTAAGAATGAGGAGAAACTAAAAAACGGACAGCTCGTTGCCTGGTGGCCAGGGAAGGACCCCATCTTGAAATAATTAAAAGTAGACTAAACAGTGGAAAGACTTCTCTTTGTCTTGCCAACATTGCTCAAGTCAGCCAGAAAAGTTAAGGCAGAGTGCTTAAGAAGAGGCAGGAGGTAGAAAGAGGAAGGAAGCTGCTTTTTTCCCCTTCTCATCAAGTCTCGCCAGAAACATATAGGAATAAGTTGAAAGTTCCCTGGTGGCTCAGTTGGTAAAGAATTGCCTGCAACGCAGGAGACCCAGGTTCAATCCCTGGGTGGGGAAGATAGGAAATGGCAACCCAATCCAGTACTCTTGTCTGGGAAATCCCATGGATAAAAGAGCCTGGTGGGCTACAATCCATGGGGTCACAAAAAATCAGACACAACTGAGCATCTGAGCATATTCTCCAATCATAGCTGTCAGACTTATCCCTCCATTTGGCCCTCCCGTGACAGAAGGCTAAGGTGTGCCTTGGTACCCAAAAGATCTGAAATAACTGCCAGGTGCCTGGGGCCGGTGGGCCCTGCCTGCAACACAGTTTGGTACTCCCTTTAGAGTCCCAGGGTCTGTGATGACGCCGAGCAAGAGCTGGAAAAGTAGGACCATTCCCAGTCGAATGTCGTTCTGTTTCACCCACTTCCTAGGAAAGACTCAGCTTGGAGTGTTCTTCCACAAGATAGATCTTACACTGGTTCTCCACCACGATAGGGAGATCTACACGGCTCTCAGATTACTTGTCAGTATCTGGAAAAGAGGCAATGTAATTAGCATCTATTCTGCATGTTCCATCACAAAGACGACTTAACCTGGTCTCTAGGTATCTTCAACAGACAGGGTTCCACAGTAAGGTTTTTGAAATCAGAGAGATTGAGAGCAAGCCTCAGAGAGATTCTGAGAGTGTGATAGGAGCAAACCTTCCACTAGATTCTGTAGAAGTAGGAACACAAGTGAGCTTTGAGAATGGACTCGACATTCAGGCCAAGAGAAAGCTCTTTACTGAGGGTTGATGGCCCAGTGATCCCATGCGCTATTTGCCGGGATGCCTTTCCCTTACAATCAGCTAATACATAATTAGGCAGTTCTTGGGAACTTGTCATCTCTGTACTAATCTTTATGTCTTCAAAGCCCCTACCAATTAATTCCTTTAATACTTAGCTCAGTTTTTCCATTTCCAGTGAATCCTTCCCTGACAGATCTTATCAGTCCTTCATTGGAGCTCTAAGCATCTTTTCATATCATTTTAAGTTTCATTTTAAAATGTTTTAAAATGAGTAAACAAATAATTGTTAAAAATTTTCCCTGGTGGATGAGTGGTAAAGAATCAGCTTGCCAAAGCATGAGACATGTGTGTTCAATCCCTGGATCCGGAAGATACCTGGAGGAGGAAATGGCAACTTACTCCAGTATGCTCACCTGAAAAATCCCATGGACAGAGGAGCCTGGCGGGCTACAGTCCACGGGGTCGCAAAAGTAGGACATGACCTAACAACTGAGCACACAAACCAATGATTGTTAAAATTTCATAAAGTATAACTTAGAAAAAAGAAGAAAATGAGTTATCTGAACCACCCAGAGATGAACAATGACCATCGTCATGTATGATTTTCCAGTCTCTCTGGTTTTCTATTTCCCACTGTTTTGCTAATATTTTTTTTAATTTCCTATGTGGCAAAATATCAGGTATCACTTTTACAAGTATATCTATCTACCTATCTATATCTATATATTTTAATGGTGAGTAGTAGTTTCAGCATTTTTAATAGGATCATTACAGAGCATATCACATTTCCACTACAGTTCAAGATAAATAGCTAGCACTCACATAGTACATAATATTCCCTGGATTGTTCTAATTGCTTACATGATTGATCTATTTAATCTGTATAATCTGAGATGGTTGGTTTAATTTTTACTATCAAATTTCACAGATAAGGAAATGGAGTCAACAAGTGTTTAAATAATTTTTCTATGACTAATATGTTTAGTGGAGAAGGCAATGGCACCCCACTCCAGTACTCTTGCCTGGAAAATCCCATGGACAGAGAGGAGCCTGGTGGGCTGCAGTTCATGGGCTCGCTAAGAGTCGGACATGACTGAGCGAATTCACTTTCACTTTTCACTTTCATGCATTGGAGAAGGAAATGGCAACCCACTCCAGTGTTCTTGCCTTGAGAATCCCAGGAACGGGGAGTTTGGTGGGCTGCCGTCTATGGGGTCGCACAGAGTTGGACACAACTGAAGCGACTTAGCAGCAGCAGCAGCAGTATGTTTAGAGCTAAATTTTGAACCTGAACCTGACTCTTAACCACTGTCCTTCATGAATTTAACAGCAAATAATTGAGCATCTAATAATCAGCTCAGGTTTGATCCCTGGGTTGGGAAGATCCCCTGGAGAAGGGAAAGGTTACCCACTCCAATGTTGTGACCTGGAGAATTCCATAGGTGTCTGAGAGTCAGACACCACTGAGCGACTTTCACTTTAGGGCTTCCCTGATAGCTCAGTTGGTAAAGAATCTGCCTGCAATGCAGGAGACCCCGGTTTGATTCCTGGGTTCAGAAGATCTCCTGGAGAAGAGAAAGGCTACCCACTCCAGTATTCTTGGGCTTCCCTTGTGGCTCAGCTGGTAAAGAATCCGCCTGCAATGTGGGAGACCTGGGTTTGATCCCTGGATTGGGAAGATCCCCTGGAGAAGAGAAAGGCTACCCACTCCAGTATTCTGGCCTGAAGAATTTCATGGACTGTATAGTCCATGGGGTCGCAAAGAGTCAGACATGACTGAGCAAATTTCACTTCAGTTCAGTGATCAGCAGTTTCTTCAGATATTTTACTTGTTGACTCTGGAAGTCAGAAACAACCGTGAGAATCTTGTCTGATGGTAAACAGCTTCAAAATAGGGCAGCCAGGTCTGTCTGCTCTCTAAACCATCTACCACTACCAACAACCCTCAATCCTACCACCACCCATCACCCACCCAAAACTACCACAATCACCACCACCATCACCACCATCACCACCATCACGTCATCCCCACATACTATCACGATCAGCACCATCACCATCACCTCCCAGGACTACCACAGTTACCAGCACCATCATGTCATCCCCCCATACTACCATGATCAGCACCACCATCACTTCCCACGACTACCACAATCACCACCACCATCACCACCATCACGTCATCCCCCCATACTATCACGATCAGCACCACCACCATCACCTCCCAGGACTACCACAATCACCACCACCATCACCACCATCACATCATCCCCCATACTATCACGATCAGTACCATCACCATCACCTCCCAGGACTACCACAATCACCACCACCATCACCACCATCACATCATCCCCCATACTATCACGATCAGCACCATCACCATCACCTCCCAGGACTACCACAATCACCACCACCATCACCGCCATCACGTCATCCCCCCATTCTATCACGATCAGCACCACCACCATCACCTCCCAGGACTACCACAATCAACAGCACCAACATCACTACTACCACCATCACCACCATGTTATCTTTGCTAATTAGCCAGGTATCTGTCTTTACTTTCTCTTCCTCATTCCCCCTAGAATATTAAGTCTTCGAGGTCGGAAAGTGAGTAGCTTTGTTCATCCTTATAACCCCAGCACCGAGCACCGTTCCTGGGCTATGGTTACCGTGGAGTAAATACTTGAAGGAATAAAGGACTCATGGAGTTGATGTGACTGACAGCAACCAAGGAAGATATTTTGACTGAAGAGATCAGTCAACACCTGTTTAAAGAGAATACGCACTACATGATCTGAATTTGTCTTTGTAAACTTGGCTCCCTAATACAAAACAAACATTTAAGTTTTCCCCATTGAAAATCTCTAATCTTGGCATGACGGATGTGGCCAGGAGCACTGGTAGAGGCCAGTTATGCCCTGGCTGCATTTCTCTAAGGGGAGGTGTGAATTTGGCTCCTTCTCCCTCACTTCCCACCAGGGCCCTTTGTTCTCCACACTTCCTCCCACTGTGGCATGCTGGTGTGTGTAGGAGCTGATTTGATATCAGTGTCCTTTGTCAAAGTTCTCTTTTGCCTGATGGTTGCTACTGTTATCAGTTACTTCAGGGCAAGCCCAGAACTCTGCAAGTCACCCTGGGCCATTATTTACTGCCATATCCAGTTTTACCAAAGCTGGTGCCGGAAGAGGACTCTGGTAGGTTTTGATGACCCGTTTTCTCATGTGGGTTTGAAAACTCATGCAGTAGAATGGGCTGTTTTGGTGTCCTGGGTTTGAGAGTTTGGAATTTCTTTTTACTGTTTACTGCACCAGCCCTTCAATGCCACTCTTACTCTGTAACTCTCCTCCTTGCTTAAAATTCTCCTCTCTCCCACTTTTGACTTTGCAAAATCCACAGTAACAGGCAAACTCTGGTCTTGGAACAGGGCTGATCCTCTGATAGATGAAACTGTCAAAGAGCTGAGTTTGTCGAAACTCAGAAGAAATAGACACTAGGAAAACAGCTTACGTGCAAAGCAACGAATACTTCCTTTATTTTCACAGTCCCTGGGAGATGTACAGAGAGTGGGTGAAAAAGACCTGAATTTGTCAGTTTGCTGGAGTGGGTTGAAAAGAAATTTGTGGTACTTTCCGTGGTTCATAAAACATGAGGTTTCAAAGGCAGGAAATGGCCAAGAGATCTGGTTTATCTTCTTTTCTAATTACAAACTAGAAGAGTTCACTTCGCAACATCTGAAAATCCCCCAAGTGAATCACTATAAGCAACTATAGGTCTTCCAAAGTGAGCCAGAGAATAACAGCTAACATTTATTGAGCATTTAAGGTATGGCAAGCTCTGTGCTGAATACTGTCTGACTCTTTGTGACCCGTGGACTGTAGCCTGCCAGGCTCTTCTGTCCATGGGATTTTCCAGGCACGAAGACTGGAGTGGGTTACCATTTCCTACTCTAGAGGATCTTCCCGATTCTGGGATTGAAACCGGCTCTTGAGTCTCCTGCATTCTTTACCACGGCAC